GCGAGTCGAGGACATTTCCCCTGCTTTCCCTGCCCAATTTCCTGATTTTCTGCAAAGAAAAGCAAAGGCCTGTTAGTAGCATATCGACATATCGAACAGTCTGCTGAACAGTCTGCTGAAAAATAGCAAAAAGGTTTCATTTCGACGTGGAGGGTTTTAAAAACTTTTTGCACAGCTGAATTTATTGGGATCGAAACAGAATTTCCTTTTTTGGCGCGCTTATGTGTGATTTTGTTTGGATGGGATTCCCTCCCCACCCGCCAGTGTCTCCAGCAGCGGTGGATCGACAAAAAAGATTTCTGTAGGATTCCAGAATGAAGAGATCGGTCCCACTACCATCAAAGGTTTAATCTGCGGTTTTGTCAACAAACTTGAAGTGGCTAGTGTTTGCCAGAATCGGAGTCAGTCGGATGTTGAGTTAGGTTGGTAGTGTTGCGGATTCGACAAGCAGGGCTGCATCGTCTGCATTTGCGTAGAAATCAGCAAACTGGAGAATGTTTTTGCAATATAGTTTTCGAGAAAGAAAATAAGTAAGGAAATTCTCGTGATACTGATAATTTTGTTGAAATTTTCAGTGTTTCCATGTATTCAGTCGCAAGTGTCTTCCTTTCATTTATTTTTTACGGGCGATCTTTATTCCCGATATGGTCATGTACGACAAACAAGTTTGATTTCTGGGTTAATAGCCAGTTTCTCATGTCGCATTTAGTGAAAAAGGTGACGTTTATCAAAATGTTTCATAACGTTATGAAAATACCAATCTGCTTCATATCAAATAAAGTAGACACGTACACTGTTTGACAGTGTAGTTTGGCCTAACCTGGTCAACATTGGCAGGTTATATTTAGCTGTTGAACTCGAGGTTTCATTTCACTTCAGACTTTCAATATAATTTCTGAATATTTTAGAAAGTTTAGTTAAATTTTCATTCTTTACAATTTTTTCAATTCCATTGAAGAACATTCTTAAAAATGCCAAGTGGATGTCATCTGTCTGCAAGTTATTTTGTGTGTGTTTACTTGCCTATATTTATCTTCTGACAATTTGTTGATGCTTTGCAGTTATAGCTATGAAGACAATGCCAGTTGACTGAGCATTGCACATTATTATCAGGCAAAGTCCTTGTGATTTTCTGTAGAAACATGGAGGGTTTGTAGTTTTATGAGTACTCCTGAGTGTGTCCGTACATAATGTGTGTGTTTTTCTGTTTCTACTTCACTGACTGTTTTGTACTCTAGTAGTTCTGTAGGTGTATATATCCTATTGCATTTTACTTAAACATTTTCATTTGTGTCATTTTGTAAGTGTTTATTTTATTTCAAGAATATTTCATGCTGCTTGTGTTTAGCACCTTACCAGGGAAATTAATTTTGACACATTTGTCTTTTAATTGTGATCGCTTTGTATACGATAATAAGTTTACGTACACACAATAATTTTGTCCTTGAAAATATTTGATTCAGTTAGTCTTCTTAGTGTGAAGCTTTCAGTGCCTAATTTTTCTCATACTTCTGTTCAGTGTTCAATTTTGTCTAAACTACGAAATTATTTTACAGGATTCCTTCAAAGATCGGCAAATGTGGGCTCTATGAGAAGACCAAGCACAATGGGGGATATGAGCTCAGCCAGTTTCCTCCACATGGGGGACATTGTGTCCCTCTATGCGGAGGGAAGTGTTTGTGGTTTCCTTAGTACCCTAGGGTATGCCTCTTAAGACTTTTAAAAAAATATTCTTATGTCTGCTCTCACTGTTTCGAACACAATTTTTCTTTTGGTTTCAGTTTGGTTGATGATCGGAGTGTGGTTTGCCCAGAAGCAGGAGATCTATCCAACCCACCTAAAAAGTTTAGAGGTTTGTTTCCATTTCTCTCCTCTCCATTTTGCTGTTTTTGTTTGTTTGTTTGTTTTTTGTTTGTTTTTTTTTTTGTTTTGTTTTTTTAAATCTAACTTTGGCTCTTAATTTTCTGTTGCACAGATTGCTTGTTCAAAATATGTCCCATGAATCGTTACTCTGCTCAGAAACAATTTTGGAAAGCTGCAAAACAAAGTGGAAGCTCCTCAACGGACGCTGTGCTGCTGAAGAGATTGCATGTGGGTGTCTCTCCAGGATACTTTTTTGAATTCAGTTATTATATTTTAATACTTAAAAAATTAACATGTTTTACTCATGCACATTTGCACTATTGACAATCAATTATTACTATCTAATTTTTTAAATTTTGGTTGGGCCTGTTTACAGCATGCTGCTGAAATTGAAAAGAAACAGAATGAGTCTGAAAATAAAAAATTGCTTGGAAATGTTGTGCAGTATGGAAGCGTTGTTCAGGTTTGATCATCTTGGACTAGAAATGCACCTTTTGATGTTTTACAATTTTTGTAATTGGACTTCTTACCCCGTAATTTTTAGATATTACATTTGAAATCCAATAAATTTCTTACGGTGAATAAGCGTCTCCCTGCACTGCTTGAGAAAAATGCCATGCGCGTCTACTTAGATGCAAATGGTAATGAAGGATCATGGTTTTACATTCTTCCATGCTACAAATTACGCTCAACTGGTGACAATGTTGTTGTAGGAGACAAGGTCTGATCTGCGTATTTATTTCTATTACGTACTTCCAAAATATTTTAGTACGATAGTAACAATTTTCTCTTTTTTTTCTTAGGTAATATTAACACCAGTTAATGCTGGGCAGCAAGTACTACATGTTGCTGCAAACTTTGAACTTCCTGATAATCCTGGGTGTAAAGAGGTAAGCCAATCCAAATCATATATTGTTGTAAAATAATTTATTGTTATTGTGCTTCACTCTAACTTCAAAAAACAATTCTAGAAAATAGTTCCTTTAACTCAAACTATTTCTTCGATTTTACTAGGTTAATGTTGTGAACTCAAGTACTTCTTGGAAGGTAAATCTGTTCATGGAAAATAGAGAAAATCAAGAGGAAATTTTGAAAGGAGGAGATGTTGTGCGACTTTTCCACGCTGAACAGGAAAAATTTTTAACCATGGATGAGTACAAAAAAGTTCAGCATGTTTTCTTGAGAACAACCTCTAGATCCTCTGCAACGGCAGCTACCAGCAGTAAAGCTCTCTGGGAAGTTGAGGTATACCTCATACATATATATTATAATTAAAGATTACATTTTTTTCTATGACTAGTTCTCTTTTTAAAGTTTTTATCTTATTACAGGTTGTGCAACATGATCCATGCCGTGGTGGTGCTGGACATTGGAATTGCTTGTTTCGATTTAAGCATCTTGCTACAGGCCAGTACTTAGCTGCTGAAATTGATGATGATGATGCAACTGATCAAATGAGATCCAAGCTGAGAGGCAAGTTCCTACTCTTATCATTTTGACCTCTTCTTCTGCTGTAATATATTTTTATTTGATGACACATGAATACATTGTTTAATTAAATTTTTACTATTTATTGACAGGAAATGGACAGGTGTTCCATTTGGTATCGGTTCCACATTCTGTAGAAATAGCATCATTGTTTGAACTAGATCCAACCACCCTCACTAGAGGTGATTCTTTGGTGCCACAATCCTCCTATGTTCGTCTTCATCACCTTTGTACCAACACGTGGGTTCACAGTACATCAATCCCTATAGACAAGGATGAGGAAAAACCTGTCATGTCTAAAGTGAGTCTGTAATTAAAATCCCAGCAATTTTCTTTCATCTTTTTTGATATCTATATAAAAAATAGAAAGTGATTGATCAGTTAAATTTACACATGTTAATATTCTCTAATAGGTTGGATGTGCCCATGCTAAAGAAGACAAAGAGGCCTTTGCCTTAATTTCAGTCTCTCCTACAGAGGTAAGAGATTTGGACTTTGCCAATGATGCTTGTAAGGTTCTTGCATCTATTTCAACAAAGCTTGAATCGGGAACCATCACTGCTAATGAAAGGAGGTCAGAAAAACATTTTCAAACACTCTGGTATATCAGATTTTGCCTTTCTCCCTGAAAAAGCTGACTCTTCTACATTTACTGTCTGATTACAGGGCCGCAACATGTCTTCTTCAGGACATAGTTTATTTTCTTGCTGGCTTAGAAAATGACCAAAACAAATCTGAAGCTTTGGATCTCACTGTGTCAAACTTAAGCAGAGATCGACAAAAGCTGTTAAGAGAACAATATATTTTAAAGCAGTTATTTAAAATTTTGCAAGCTCCATTTTTAGAATTTCAGGGAAAGGGACCTTTTCTCAAAATAGAAGATTTGAATGATGCTCGCCATGCCTCATACAAATACATGTTTCGTCTGTGCTATCGCATTCTCCGACTGAGTCAGCAGGCCTATAGAAAAAACCAGGTAGGTCAAAACATCTCCTAGTCCCATTACAAAGCTGTGCATCTATGAGTGCATCTATATTCTCACTGTACCATCTAAATTTCAAAGGAATACATTGCAAAGCACTTTGCCTTCATGCAAAAGCAAATTGGCTATGATATTCTTGCTGAAGACACCATTACTGCCCTTTTGCACAACAATAGAAAACTTCTAGAAAAACATATTACCGCTGCTGAAATTGAGACATTTGTTAATCTTGTACGAAAGAATATGCATTCTTGGCAGTCAAGGTTTCTAGATTACTTATCAGATTTGTGCATCTCAAATAAAAAAGCCATTGCTGTTACTCAAGAGCTAATTTGCAAGAGTGTGTTCAGTGAAAAAAATGAAGATATCCTCATTGAAACAAGGTAAAAAGTTGTTTGAAGCCTGAATCTCATCTCCAACTATAAATGACTGTGATAATGCATTAATTGTATCTCTTTAGAATGATGAAAACCCTTGAAGTTGAAGAGAGAGATGATGAAAGTAATGATTATGCTCCACTCTTAGAGCATGAAGATGTTGTTCTGTTTTGGAACAATCGACAGGTATTTTATCATCTAATTATCTATTTGCTTGAGAAATACATTTGAAAAGATCATTTACTATTTTGAAATATTGTCAACAGAACTCACTGTCCCTTGTTGATCTGTCTCACAAGGCAAAAGATGGTAATGCCCAAGAACAAGCCTTGTTGGAATATTATCGACATCAGCTAAATCTGTTTTCAAACATGTGTCTGAATCGGCAGTATCTTGCCCTAAACAATTTATCACAGAATCTTGATATTGACCTTATTCTAAAGTAAGATTTATTAGTTACTATTCGATAAAGGGATTCCTGGCATAGTATTCTTATTGCTGTTTTGGTTTCAGATGTATGGCTGATGATGATAACGTTCCATTTGAACTAAGGGCATCTTTTTGTCGCTTAATGCTACATCTTCATGTTGATCGTGATCCGCAAGAACCAGTGACACCTGTAAAATATGCTAGACTTTGGCCAGAAATATCATCCAAAATGACCATCAATGAGTAAGTTGCGATCCTGTTGCACTTGGGAGGAGAACCATATTTGCTTCCCCAATTAATTATCTGTTTACTCTGTTATAGTTATGACTGTAATAAGTCAAGAGATCCTAATAAGGAGGCTGTACGTCAGCGATTTGCATCCACCATGAAGTTTGTAGAAAACTATCTTACGAATATTGTTGGCAAAGTTGGAAGCTTTTCAGACAACTCACAAAATAAGTTAACATATGAGGTTTGAGCCACTGCGTAAATAAATTTGCCATAAGTATAGATTTGAAGAAAATCTTATTTGAACTGTTCCTTTTGTCTCCAGGTTGTTAAATTGGCAAGGGAGCTTATATATTTCGGTTTTTATAGCTTCAGTGACTTATTGAGCTTAACAAAAATGCTCCTGAATATTCTTGACTGCGTATCTGAAACAGACTTTTTAGCGGGCAAATTACCTACTGAAGAAATAAGCTGTAAGTTTTCACTACCTATCAATATGAACAGTTCCCTCTTCATAAATTCTTCTTGGTCACCATATGGTCTTTGTGAAGTTATGTTTATACCACATTAGTAATAATACAGAAATTGCAGAGTGGCCAGAATTTGGTTGTGCCCCAGGTTATTTAATGAATGCAAAAGAATTTCCTACTCTTACTGTGTTCTAAATTAATCGAAATTATAGCTTACTAACATTAATTAATCGGGCTATCCTATTTTATGTCAGTGCAAATATAACATAAAATTCTTTGCTAAAACTAACCTACTTTTGACTTGCTTGATGCAAGCAGCTGATGATCAGAATGGAACTGAAGAAGATATAAATGAGAGGATCATCGATCAAACTAAGTCACTTAAAGATCGAAAGCCTTGTAAGTTTGTGTTGTCTTCAGTAATCACATAGTTAGCAGCTGCAGGAGTTCTTCTACAAGTTCTATTGATGTATTTTGATGGATGATTTCGTAGTTACTGGTACGATATTCTGTTATTTGTTTTTGGATCCTCACACTTTATTGTAGTCAGCGCTGCCTGCTCTATGTAGTTGCACCTGCTTCTTTATATTTTTTTAATTCAATTTGTAGCTACCTGTGTTTAGTAAAAAAGCTCTCATTACAAAATCAGCTCTTGTGTCTCCACTATTCATCTGCATGTAATTTAGTATAGCTTAAATAGTGATCACAGTTGCACTTCTCAACAGTATGCAGCTGTAATTGGTATGCTATTGAAATTCAAACAAAGTATCTTGTAGATGAGTATTTTTTATTTATTTTTCTATGTATACAATGATTAGCCTATGGGAAGGTTGCAGGCAGAGGAGCTTTTTTGGATTTGGTTTTGTTTTGTAATTTGCTGTTCTTTTTACTGTGTGTTTTCTCTTTGCTTTGTATGTGTATCTGATCTGATGTATGACTTATTTCAGCTGAAGGAGGAGTTTTACGTTCAATTGGTGATATGGGTGCTGTGATGACCAGTTTAACATTGGGAACAGCAGGACTAGAAAGGAGTGGAAGTGTACAGAGTAAAACAAGTCAAATGAAGAAAGAGTATCCATTAGTCATGGATACTAAACTAAAAATTATTGAGATACTTCAGGTGAGTAATGACAATACCAAAGATTCCACTGTCTTATTAGAAGTTGTTTGTCAATTTCCTACTTCTTTGCAGTTTATTTTGGATGTAAGGCTTGACTATAAAATAAGCTGTCTCCTTTCAATCTTCAAACATGAAAATGAAAAGGAGAAAAATTCGGGTGATGCATTGGACTTGGAGTTAATAGGAACTCAGGCAGAGAGTATCTTCGGTAGCAGGTATTATTATCAGTTTCTTATTGACATATCTTTGAGCAGGAACATCAAATGTCAAGAATCAAAAGTGGCTTACAGATCATTAAGATGAAAATCAATAAGACCTATTTTATTCAAAATAAAAAAGTTTTGAGATATGTCAAAAACCATAGGTTTCCTCCTTGATCAGATGGCTTCTTATTACTTTTTTTGAATATTTTTTGATCCTTGATTTCTTTTATTAAATCTAATCTAAACTAGATTTTGATGAGCTCCGTATTTTTTTCCCCTGATTCAAGCATCACTTTTGTTTATCTTTCAGTGCTGATTGTGCAGAATTGGATTTGGATGGACAAGGTGGCAGAACATTTTTAAGAGTGCTCTTGCATCTATCAATGCATGATTACCCACCTTTAGTGTCTGGAGCTTTACATTTGTTGTTCAGACACTTCAGCCAGCGACAGGAAGTGTTGCAGGCATTTAAGCAGGTATACTTTGGAATCTCATTCATTAATAATGCTAATATTTTATGCTTGGAAAAGGCCTTGTAGCAACATTTTTTCCCCCATACTTTAGGTCCAACTGCTTGTGTCAGACAGTGATGTAGAATCATACAAACAGATTAAAGCTGACTTAGACACTTTACGACAATCTGTTGAGAAATCTGAGTTGTGGGTGTATAAATCAAAGAGTGTAGATGAACTAGGCAATAAAAAAGTGGCTGAAGATGAGGAAGATCAAGACAGACAAGAACGAAAAACTCCAGCCCCTCAACTAGGAAGTGAGAGCAAGCAGGGTTCATCATTAGAACTTGATGTTGGCCCTCCACTCCATGAAGAACAGGCTCAAGAGTATAAGAAGATTAGAGATGTAAAAACTTATTCAGTAGTCTGACATTGTGTATGAAACTTCAGAATGTAATATTTTTGTCGTATTCTTTCAGATTTTGATCAGAATGAACAAGCTCTGTGTTGCAACTGACAAACCACGAAAGCACGAACAGCGTCTGTTGCGCAATGTTCATGTTCATACGGTTGTGTTAGATTTGCTTCAAATTCCATATGATCAGAAGGAGGACACTCGCATGAATCAGCTAATGGGTCTTGCCCATGAGTTTCTTCAAAACTTTTGCTTGGGTAACCATCAAAACCAAGTACTTTTGCACAAACAACTGGATCTTTTTCTCAACCCAGGGGTTAGTAATACCGTCACGTTTTACTTAACATATCTGTGAAATTGAGTCTTTGCTTTCTTGTTAATTTTCTGTGACTAAATTTAATCAAAACTAATCCAATCTGCTCCCATTGTAGATTCAGGATGCTCAAACTGTGTGCAGCATATTCCAAGACAATCCAACCCTTTGTAGTGAAGTTAGTGAAAAGGTCATTCAACACTTCGTGCACTGCATTGAAACTCATGGCCGACACGTTCAATATCTCAAGTTCCTGCAAACAATAGTGAAAGCTGAAAACCAGTTTATTCGTCGCTGTCAGGAGATGGTCATGCAGGAACTCATTAATGCTGGAGAAGATGTTCTTGTATTTTATAATGACAAAGCTTCTTTCAATTCTTTCGTTGAGATGATGCGTTCGGGAAGACATCGCATGGATGAGAGTAGCCCTCTTAGGTTGGAATCTGTGTTTTTTTCCGAATCCGATGAAGAACCCAAACTTTCTCTCATAACACATAACAATTTATTTTCTTAGGTATCATGTGGAATTAGTAAAGTTATTAGCATGCTGCACCATGGGGAAGAATGTCAACACAGAAATCAAGTGTCACAGTATGTTACCATTGGATGGTATTGTTGATATGGTTTCTCACGACGACTGCATTCCAGAAGTATGTCTTTCTATTATCTATTTTTGACAGGTGAACCATGAACTCTATTAATATTTTTACATTTCTAGGTAAAAGAGGCCTACATCAATTTCCTGAATCATTGTTATATTGACACTGAAGTTGAAATGAAAGAAATATACACCTCCCACCACATGTGGAGTTTGTTTGAAAAGAGTTTCCCTATTGATTTGGCGACAGTCGCCAATCATACAGCAGACAGAAAACACGCCGATCGAGCTCTCGAGAGCTATGTTTGTAATAGTGTGATGAACGTTATTACTACATTTTTCAATAGTCCTTTCTCAGATCAATGCACCACTGTTCAGGTTTGTTAAAGAAGCTGCTTATTTTTATTAATTTTTTCCACCCTTTTTTTCCCTTTAAATTTCTGCTTTTGGTAAATATTGTTGGTTTGTAGAAAGTTGATGTTGATGCTGATTAAACCTTTTGCCCTATTAGGCTCGACAACCTATTTTTGTAAAACTCCTCCAGTCAGCATATAGAGTTTCCCAGTGCTCATGGCTTGATCCTGCTCAACGTGTACAAGTTGAAAACTGTATTCGTACTCTGTCTGATGTTGGTAAGAGTGAACAGTCAAATAAATAAGATTTTGTTGGGTTTTTTTGCCAATTTTTGCAAAAGGGTTGCAAAATTGAATTTTGTTTTAGCCAAGAATCGCACCATTGCCATACCATCTGACTTGGAGAGTCAAGTTCTGGCAATGTTTAGTAAACCGGCTCAACTTATACGTCAAAACACAAAGAGGATGCAGCCACTTAAGTTGATTTCAAAATTAGAAAGATCTCAGTCCCAGGTATTTCTATAAGATACAATATTCTATGTATAGTTAGCCTCTTCTGTGAATATTGTTTCTATTTTAAATGAGGTATGCTTTATTTATTTTCCTCATTTTACAGCTCATCAAACTGGATAGAAATATCATAGAAGGCCTTCAAGACATAGTTTCCCTCCTAGAAGACCAGCTCAAGCCCCTTGTTCAATCAGAGCTATCCCTTCTTGTTGACATCTTGTACAGGCCAGAACTACTTTTCCCTCAAGGTTCTGAAGCTCGCAAGGGCTGTGAGAGTGGGGGATTCATTCGAAAGTTAGTTTAAACGGAACTGTTTGTGCTAGTTAAATATTTCCTTTAACATTACATTTACATGAGTCCTTAATTGTTTTAGACTTATTAAACACACTGAAGAGTTACTTGAGGAAAAAGAAGAAAAATTGTGTGTCAAAGTTCTTCGCACTCTGCGAGAGATGATGTCGATTGATCCTGACTATGGTGAAAAGGTAATAAGGCGATACTCTCCTTACTGTAATTTATATACATGTTATATTGAAGATATGCACATGTGAAACCATTTTCACAATATGTGTAGTAATATCTGTTTAACTACTTTAGTAAATTACTGAAATTTGTCTCAGTAAATATTTGGTCTATTCCATAATAAAATTAGCTGCAGTGTTGCAGGATTCTCTTTCTGACTGTTAATGTGATTTACGCTTTTTGTGTTTAAATGTTCTGCAATGTTGTGCTATGTATACTGCACCTTCTTTTCAAGAAAAGGAATTCAGTGATATTTATCATTCTGTCCCAAGGTGATAGTAACAAGCATTGTTTACGTGTTGTTGCTGCTCTAAGGAAGAACCTCAGGTTCTTGGAATTGAACAGTCTCGGGTATGGTTTTGGAAGTTGTCTTTTGAAAGTTTGCTGATTTTGCCCCCACCTTATTTTAGATTTTGAATAATCTGTTACCCACAGGTTTATGCTTTGTAAATCTGCTCCTCCCTCTCTTTGTGTGTTCCACTCTGTCTTTTTCCTTCTTTAGTTTTTGTGTGTTGTTCTGCTAAAGAAACCTGCAAAGCTTAACCTTTCCCATTTCATGCACTCTCTGTGTCATACTTCTTCTTTACTTCCAATATGTGTGCTTTGTGAGTGAGCTGTAGTGGTTGAAACCCTTCCCCTTTACTTTGTCTCTTTTATGTCTTTGCAATGCTAGCATGACTGTCACCTATGTTAGGTTCATTTTTAAAGGTAATGAACCTTATATGTAAATATCCATTTGTAAATGTAATACCACCAGTTTGTGTTTCTGAGCTGTGATCTCAATGTTTACAATTTTGGGAAGAAAGAAAACAAACAACTTTAGTTTGAAGCCGTCATATTTTTTGTTGTGTAATATTATTGTATGACATCTTTAGGAATAGCAAAGTGTGTTTAAAAATGCTGGACCTTTCTAAAAAAATAACAAAAGGTTAAATAAATCTTATCATCAATATTTAATTTGTTTTTCTTTGTATACAGGGAGATCAGCTCAGACAGCTGCTGTTGACAAGGTATTTTGACAGTACTCTGACTCAGCGACAGGAAAATGTGGATCCAGCCTTGTCAAGACATTTACCACAAGTCATGCATGGCCCTGGAGGTGAGTTATGTCATCTATGTTCACTTCCAGCCATCAGTAAAAATATTGCATTAATATGTTTTTTGTTTTGTTTTTGAACTTTATAGCTAAGATGCTAAGCAGAGCTGGTTGCACTTTGCATGAAGTACAGTGTCATCTCGATCGTGAAGGTGCCTCAGATCTTGTAGTGGAGTTGGTAATAAAATCTGTTCATTCCCCTTCAATATTTGGTGAAGCAGTAGAGTTGGGTATTGCCCTTTTAGAAGGTGGAAACCCTGTAATCCAGAAGAGCATGTATAGTAAACTTTTAGGAGGTGATCTAAGTCAAGCCTTCTTTAAGGTATCCATACCATTCTATTATTTTAAAATTATTTTTTTTAGAGGTCTACTTGGAATAATTAATTATTCAATGCTTCTACAGGTGTTTTATGATAAGATGCGTGATGCCCAACAAGAGATTAAATCCACTGTGACAGTGAATACATCAGACATTGCAGCCAAAGCACATGAAGACAAAGATCAAGGGAAAGAGCAAGAAAAGATGTCAAAAAAACGAGGGGGTAACGGACTTGATTTTTAATATGTATTTTGCTACCTTTTTGCTCTAACAAGCAAATTCATTTTGTTTTATTTTAGCAATCTTAATGTCCCCACTTTAATTACATCTCTCTCAATGTAATTATTTATTTTTGCAGCTAAAACAAATGGTATGGTGATATCCGAGGAATTAAATGAAGAACTTAACCATGCTGCACTTGCAACCAGCCAAGCATATGTCAATGCCCGAAATGTATCTTCCGGTATACATACATATTCCTCTGAATTTTTATTGTATAGAATTTAATTTGTCTTCACTGATGTAGCTCTTTCTTTTCCCAGGAGATGATCCAAGTTCGGTGACTGCTGGTGCCCACAGCTCTGCCTTAGAGGATATGATTGCAGAGAAAGAACGTTACAGAGATCAAGAAGATCCAAATCGACTTTCTAGCAAAGTTCTAGTTATGCAACCTATTCTTCGCTTTTTGCAGTTGCTATGTGAAAACCACAATCGTGATCTTCAGGTAACATTTTTTTATCTTTGATTAAGGTGAAACTGGAATGGAACTGAGTTATCACAGAATTCTAAATTACAGAATTTGTTGAGGAATCAAAACAACAAAACCAACTATAATTTGGTTTCCGAAACGCTCATGTTCCTGGATTGTATTTGCGGATCAACAACAGGTGGCCTTGGGCTTCTTGGGTTGTACATTAATGAAAATAATGTGGCCCTTATAAACCAAACTCTTGAAACTTTAACAGAATATTGTCAGGTATATACATAGGATATTCTAATTGCCATGATTTTAGAGGTGCTCATGATTCTAATCTTAACTTACTTTTTACAGGGTCCTTGCCATGATAACCAAAACTGCATCGCAACTCATGAATCTAATGGCTTGGATATTATAACAGCCTTAATTTTAAATGACATAAATCCATTAGGGAAGACTCGTATGGATCTTGTCCTTGAATTAAAAAATAATGCATCCAAACTGTTACTAGCAATTATGGAAAGTCGTGGAGACTCTGAAAATGCCGAGCGTATATTGTATAACATGAATCCTAAGCAGCTTGTTGATGTTGCTTGCCGAGCTTTTCATCAGGAGGCTCTAGATGATGATGATGATGACAATGATGATTCATCAACAGAGGATGACCAAGGTGTCTCACCAAAAGAGGTGCACAACAGTAAAATTAGGAAGACTTCTTGAATTATTTTTTAAATATTTGTTGTAGTTTCTAAGAGTTTTTGTTTTTAGGTTGGGCATAATATTTACATTCTTTGTCATCAACTGGCGCAGCATAACAAAGAATTGGCGGCAATGTTGAAACCATCTGTAACTAACACAGATGCTAAAGTTAATCAAGCTTTAGAATATTATGCATCACATACTGCTCAAATTGAGGTTGCTATCGCTTTGTCAATTTATTTAGTCTCCTTTACTTGTACATATTTTCTGCACTCCTTAAGACAATTTTCTTTTATTGTGTAGATTGTTCGTCATGACAGAACTCTTGAGCAAATAGTTTTTCCTATACCTGAAATGTGTGAGTATTTGACTGAAGAAACTAAGTTGAAGGTGTTGCATACAGCAGAAAGAGATGATCAGGGATCCAAAGTTTCGGACTTTTTTGAACGTACTGAGGATATGCTCCATGAAATGCAATGGCAGAAAAAACTACGCGGTAAGTCATACAAAAATTAATCATTTCACCCTTTCAAAGCTAATTTCATGGGTATTAATTGTTTTAGTTTTTGTTTTCTGAATCTAGGTCAACAGGCATTGTTCTGGGTTGGAAGTTTCATGTCCATGTGGAGTAACATTGTTTTCTACTGCACTGTTGTGATAAACTTCATCATAGCTGCCTATCATCCATTTCAAAACGATGTTGATGGTATGCAAATAAAGCCTTAATTTTAAATAATCTACGTATTTATAAATTTTTACACCATTACTAATACTTTTCAGGACTTGGTTCAAGCTTATCTGGGGTTGTTTGGGCGCTAATCATGGCATCTGGGGCATTAGTCATGTGGGTACCAAGAAAATCAGGCATGATAACATTGGTCGGCTCTGTCACATTTAAATTGATTTATTTCATGGGACCTGAAAGCACATTGACAATGTTAGGTATGATTACGGTAAGTCTCTGTCTCTGTAATGATTAACATGTATATGGATATCCTTAACTACTCATGTAAAGTTTATCTTGATATCTTTTAGGTTGGTTTAAAAACTGTTCATCTAGTGAGCATCATGTTTAACCAAGGCACATTGACCAAAAATTACGAGCAAATAATTACAGACACACAACTCCTATATCATGTTGCTTACCTCCTTTTGTGTGGCTTAGGTCTGGTTATGCACCCATTCTTCTTCTCTGTTCTGGTAAGATATTAAAAGGTAGCAGTTTTCCTCACTTTGTAATTTCTTTACGTGTTACTTTAACTATATTTATTTTCATTGCCTGTAGCTACTGGATGTAGTTTATCGAGAAGACACCCTTATAAATGTCATACGCTCAGTGACTCGTAATGGTCGATCAATCGTATTAACTGCAGTGTTAGCTTTGATTCTTGTCTACATGTTTTCAATTATTGGCTACATGTTCTTCAGAGATGATTTCCTTGTTTCTGTGGACTCTGACCTTGGAGGTAAATTTGCTTTATTTTAAGAAATCAGACAAATTTTTATTTAAATTCAAAATTGCATAGAAAATATACTGAAATTGTTGTCAACCAGGAGAACTTGATAATAATGGCACTGCTGAGGAAGAGGTGAAAGAGAGGGCTTGCGACTCTATGGCAATGTGTATTATAACTACACTTAATCAAGGCCTCCGTAATGGAGGTGGCATTGGTGACATATTACGTGCACCCAGTAACAAGGTAGACCTCTTATGATGCTACGTGGAATAGAGAGTGAAATTGTTTTGTGACCACCACATATTAATTTCTTTCATTTTTTTTAGGAGCCTTTATTTTTTGCCCGGGTAGTATACGATCTTCTGTTCTTCTTTATTGTCATCATTATTGTGTTAAACCTCATTTTTGGTGTCATCATTGACACATTTGCTGACCTCAGGAGTGAGAAACAACAAAAAGAACTTATATTAAAGAATACATGTTTTGTTTGTGGTCAGTTAAAATTATATTCTTTGGTGAATGTCTTTTCAAGTTTGTGGTCCATTTGTGTAAAAATTTGTTCTTGTTTTAGGTTTGAATCGATCTGCTTTTGACAATAAAACTGTTAGTTTTGAGGAACACATGCACTGTGAGCATAACATGTGGCACTATCTCTATTTTATTGTACTTGTAAAAGTTAAGGACCCTACAGAGTTTACTGGTCCTGAGAGCTATGTGTATGCCATGGTCAAGGTGGGTTTTAATTTTTCATTTCCTATTTTAAGAAGGGTTTGTTTAACCCCCCCTAACATTATGCTTTTTGTCCTTCAGGATCGGAACTTGGAGTGGTTCCCTAGATTAAGAGCAATGTCTTTGGCAGCTGATGAGAGTGAGGGAGAGCAGATGGAATTACGTAGCTTGCAGGCACAGTTGGAAGTCACCCAGAGTCTCGTTCAACACTTGTCTCACCAATTAACAGAATTAAGGGATCAAGTATGACTTTTTTTCAAGACATGCTGTGTGCAGTATCAGAGCTGCGTCCAGACAAGAGGGCTGCTTCGGTTGCTGTGGGCCTTGTAATCAGGCCCTCAGGAAGCCCAAGCAGCCCAAGCAACCCTCTTGTCTAGACACAGCTTAGATGTAACCAAAACTCTTCCGCAATTATTTACTCTTACATAATTATTGTCTTTTTTTTCTAGATGACTGAACAACGCAAACAGAAGCAACGAATTGGTCTCCTTAATTCTACCACAGCTTACCTTCACCAGCTGTAGGGATTAAAGGATTTTTTTTAGTCTTATCAAAGTTAGTCTCTAGTGTTGTTTTAAATAATTTAATTTGTATTCCAAGTCCGGGAATAATAATAACAACTTGGAAGTTAAAGAAAATAGAGACAGTTATTCTAGTGCTTTGTTGTATTGCTGGTATAGGTATTTCTAAAGTTAATTTGAAGTCTAAATTGTAGATTATTTTCCTTATCCATTGTTGAAGTTTGAAGTTGTCATTTTTTAAAAATAATTTGTACATTGCTGTGTATCAATCATTAGGTATCCACAAGGCAAAAATTCCATTTAGTATATTAGTTCTTATATTTTTGATCTAAAATGTTCTGTACGCTAGTCACAGAGATTTCTTTCTTAAAGTGAGTGGTGCCAAAAATGTCTTGACTTGTGAAACCTGATCAGTAGTTTTAACAGAGTCCGTTTATTCCTGCAAATTGTTAATAGAAGTCACAGTTATTTGGGTACTGGTGACTGTTTGCAATTTATTCTAGGTCAAAAGAATTATCTCTTTTGATTGCCAAATAGATAATTTCTTGAAATGTCAACATATAAGTTACAGCTATAAGCATTCTTGTCTTTTTGTTGCTTCCCTTGCCCTTTGCGTTTTCATTACACAACGATTTGTGGTAAAAGTACCTAGTTAAGATTACATTAGATTTGATTATATATGTATAGTTTTCCCTTTAATATTTTGTGCCTTTTTCTTGTCGCACTTTGATCTTTTTTTCTTTGCAAAAATTGATGACTCTCTATTCTGTACTATCAGTGCCTCATATGATTATGATTGGTACATATCGTTATGTGATAATTCTTGTCTTTCTCGTACCTTCACTTAGTGTTTCCTCTTTTCATAATTTATATTTTTTGTCAGCACAAAACTTTTTTAGATATTTTATTTGAGCGTTAGGTAATCACAATCATTTGTTTGGGCGTTGCCCATATGCATTGTGTTTGGTGTGGTCTTCCCATTTCATTTTATAAATGTTACAACCTGATGTATATTCTATTGCATGAGTTTGTATATTGTTATCAACTGTTGTCTAAATTCAAGAGATTTATAGATTTTAATTATTTATGGGCAATTCTGTTCCATAAGGGGACTGTACACTTTATCATGTCTTTTTGCCACTAATTTCCCCCCTTCTTGTTTTCTCCAAAATACTGGAGAAGGGACTCCTACTGTTAAAGGACTGTATCCAAGTGTCACTTTGTACATTCATTAAGTGATATCGAATGTATAAGCAAGTTTTGCAAACTGCCTAGCAGTAATATGGATCTGATGATAAAGATAGTCAAAAATGAACTTGAAATGAACCGATTAATTCGTTATGGGTTACAGACATGTTAATCTGTATTTTGTGCCATCTTCCACATGACTTGTAGAGACCTGCAGTCCAGTCTTTCATCAAAACATTCATTTCCTGACGTTTTCGGTCTCCAGTGTTTCAAATTTTTTATGTTTTGATAGTTTAAGAAAAACAAAAATTTCTTGGTTGTGTTACATTTGTGGGAAGGTATCACAAGAAAAGCCACCTTCACTTGTTAACTTTAAGATTTATTTTTATTGTTTACTTTGAGTTCTGTAACATTTTTGTTATAGTTAAAGTGAATAAATCATATAACTTGTTTATTTTTGAGTTCTGGTTGTAATGTGACCTGTAGTACCAGGTAAAATTTGGAGGTAACCTTAGCTTGTCCATAGTTTGTAGTAATACATTAATGTTTGTTTTCAAAAATTTGAACATGGATCAGAACTGCTTACTGAACGATTTGTTCCAGGTAATTCTGGGGATAACACTGCTGTCTAAATACTCTTGTGCCATGGATGAGCTCTCTGCTCCCGTTTATTAGAATGCTGTGTCTACATCAAAAGTACAACATATTTCTAAATGCCAAATATAAAACATGCAAAACTTTTTTGGAAGATAACACAATCTAGTCAAGAGCTAGATTTCATAACAAATGAAAAACTGTTAAATTAAAGTCACATTAGCACTAACTATTTGAAAATCCCAACCACAATTGCTGGAAAAATTGAAGCAGGTTGTCATACAGACCTATAGAGGATTGGGCCTAACAAATTGAAAACTTAAAAATTCTTACCTCACCTACAAAATATAGATTAACCTTCAATAGATTTAAAATCTAAATATACCACTTGCTGTTTTGGCTTGTGTTGTCTGTAAAAAACAAAAAACAAAAAGGAATGTGCATTTTAAAAGATAGATGAAAAAGAGATGATGATGTAAATCAGGGGTCATGGATATCAACAGTACTAGTCAGTGCGAAAGAGACAGACTTATGGGGGATGTGCAAGCAACGTAGCCGGGACCCTTGTAGTAGTGACTCCTTAAAAGTACCTGTATTTAACTTTTGCTGCTTGAAACATTCTCTTGGCTGCTACTACTTCGGGTTCTTTTTTGGGCTTTGAGAGGTATACCACCTTCCTGATCCCACTCTGAATGATGGCTTTCGCACACTCATTGCACGGAAATGTTATAGTGTACATGACACAACCCTTGGTCTTTAATCCAGAATTCAAAATGGCATTCAACTCGGCATGACACTCTGAAAATAAATAAATATTGAATTTGATTAACTTCTACATTAAATGAATGCAAAATTTATAAAATAAAATCAAATATTACATAGTATAAATAGATAAAAACAATGATTAAATTGATATTCACCGTATAAAAATTTATTCTCCAATGGATTTGTACTATCAGTGCCCCAAGGAAAAACTTTATCACTGCATTTCATGGGCATCCCATTGTAGCCTTGTCCTACAATACAATTTTCGTCATTTACAACACATGCCCCTAGTTGTTGGTCAGGGCACTTGCTCCTTTTAGCAACTAGTATGCTAAGGGCAAGAAAGTAGTCACGCCATGGTAAGCAATTTTCACGCCCTCTCAAGCCATCTTTGGAACTGAAAATATTCAAATGCATAAATAGCAATATTGTTTTCTAGTAAAACAGCCCTATAAATATTTACCGTTCCTGAACAATTGTGTTTGCTGGACACTGTAAGCACACAAATTGTTTAAAGTCGATCTTGAAACCATCAACCGTAAACTTTAATTGCCTGGAAATAGATAAATATAAGCAAAGAAACTTCAGAGTAGTTACATTTGAACACACCTCTTTACTTTTTACCTGCATTTTACTTTAGCTGCTTCAAGCATTTTCATTGAAGCAATAGCTTCAGGCTTGTTTTTGTTCTTATCACACATGTACACCACCTCAGAAATTCCTGACTGAATTATAGTCTTCGTACATTGATTACACGGAAAAAGTACAGTGTATATTTTACAGTTGCTAATGTCAGCACAATTCTTATTGAATATGGCATTCATTTCAGCATGACAAACTATGAAAAGAACACACATTCTGTAAAAAATTTCGCAAGACTTTGACAATTACTGTTTATGTTTAAAGAGAAAACATAACTTACCGTAAAAGTACTTTGTTTCGAGGGGGTTTGGGTTTGTCTTATCCCATGGAAATGCATTGTCTCTACAACGGCGAGGCATACCATTGTATCCTTGTCCTACAATTCTATTTTTGTCGTTAACAATGCATGCCCCAACTTGAGTACTTGGGTCCTTACTACGGTTTGACACAAGGAATGCAATTGACATAAAATACTCATCCCACATAATGTAATCGTCTCTTATCCTAGTCCAGAGTAAAATATTACAAAGAATATTAAAAGAAATCAAATGTAAGACAGTAGCAGCAACAGCAAACTATAGGTGCATAAATATTGACTCACCTCTCATTAACATTTAAATTGGATAGTCCATGTACAAGAGATGATTCAGTACATGTATCACCCATGTTCTAAACAGATAAGAGATCTATTTTTATTACTTTTATGCAGAGGAAGAGCGACAGGTGAAGCTTAGCACAGTGGTGGAAGATGATTCGCTCACCGTGAGTAGAGTTTCTAAACTGCTATTAAGCTGACAGAAAGTAAATATGAAATCCACTGACTCGCACAGGGCCAGTTGTCGTGGAAACGATTATTGATGGAGTGAGTCAATACGAAGACTTGTCCAAAAACTTGTCACTGCCAATTTTGGCGCGCGGACGGCGGGTCGGCGCCGGGTCGTCTGCTACAAACGACAATAGTTGTTGACATTGTTGGATTTCTCATATCGCGTGGTAACCAAGCGGTACTTTTCAAATAGTTTGTTTCGGCTAACCTTGAGAAAAGGGCTAACGTAGGAAGAGAAGAAGGGAAGAATAGCGGGTAGAACATACAGGTTCCTGATCGGTAGAGCCTTTACCCCCGGTGTGACGTCGAGGCGGGGAGATCTCGATCAATCCAGAACTTTTATGTTCTACCCGCCATTCTTCCGATTCTTGTTCCTGGGCCAAAACGCGTCGATGCGGTCGACCTGTGATGGAGGCCGTACAGGACGGGCAATGTTTGAATGTGTATCTTTGGACGACGATGTCACATCAACCA